TCCAACTTTCCTTCTCCTATTCTTCATCCCAATGGGCAGCCAAAAGACAGCAACCAAAACCGGCGTACGAAAGTGCATGGTTAATGGTTGTACAAACTGAAAAACCAAGTCGAATGCTGCGCGAAGGTCAATGAAACATGTGGCGGTAGGACGCTGAATCTCCTCTTGGTGTTGCAGAATTCGCCTTAGGATGAAAATCTAATCGATACATCCTCTGCCGGTTTGGAAGCTTCCTTCGTTCGTGCGTACGGTCATGCCTCGCTGTAGCAAAACGATTAAGTAATGCCTTGCTGTCGTCCGGTTCAATACCACGCCTGAGCTAGCGGGGCCTTATATGGTTCGCTACTCCAAATCCACGTGCTTGAGTTACCGGTTTCCATGACGGAGCAGCAGGTCTTCCTGACTATGGGGTTCACCCCATCTGCTGTTCACCACACAAATGTGTGTAATGGTAAAAGGCTGGACAAACGCTTTTGCAACAACATCCAGCAGACTGATGCCCCTGTAATTCTCGCATAGTGCCTGGTCGCCTTTCTCAGGAAACGGAAGCAAAACCGAGGTGTTTCAATCAGTTGGACATGTTTCGATCTCCCAAATAGAGTGAAAGAGTAAAGCGGTTTGGTGACCACCGGAGGGCAGTTCTTATATATTTCTGCGGGATTCTATCTTCACCAGACATCAAGTGACCTATCACTTCGGCTATTTTTTCTCTATCATTGGAGGATCACAGTCGAACTCGTATGGGGACGCCTTATCGGGATGAATATCCGCCGTATTGTCCAGCGGATGACTGAGAAGTGGACTAAAATGTTATACCCATCTAGTTATTCTACCGTTGATATCGGAGATCAGTCCCCCGAGGGAGTCGCACATAACAGATTGTAAAGATTGCCTTCTACCGGACGCTGATCTTATGAGACGAAAGAGATCTCCGAAGTGACATGCACTGGCTGCGGTTTTCATCTTGATCGCTGTTTCGCTCCAGTAGTTGTACCGATCTGCTTTTGCGGGACAGGGTGCTGCCCGTCTGAGTCGCTGGTAATCGTGGTGGCTAGCTAGACGGTCGTCCCTGGCCTGGGTTCAGCGACGGATGGTTTCCTCTGATATCCCATCTTTGTATTAGCGTTTCGTGGTGCCAAGTTTGTTTGGCGCAGCTTTTATCCTGGACCACTGCACATCAGGGAAGTCTGCTACGATGACGGATGGGGTAGAGTCATTTGCCTGTCGGGTTTGAATTTCATCCATCAGTGTTTTCGGTTTCATGCAGCACTCTAATGTTCCTACAATGATGCGATTTTGAGGGGTGGTCTTAACACGATTAGTGAGCCGAAGGCGAGCCAGTATGTGATCAAGGTCACCTCTGATACCAGATTGGGCACCGCGATACGATCTACAATTTTCTACTGATGATATCCAGCTTGACCGTATCAAGATCTAGTCGATCTGGTGGACTGTTATACCATCGTTTGAGTACCAGGTAAGAAGATGCTTCCTGGGATGCTGGAAACGTGTTGGTTATAAATAGCCGGTTAAAATCGGATAAATGAATTAGCCTGTCACCGTTTTCGCAGCGATGGCCTAGTCCAGATTTCCCAATTATGTTTAGTTGAAGGTTCTTGTCCACCTATTCGAGCATTTCAGTCTCCCGCCACAATAAGTACATCTCTCTTGGGTACGAGATTTACCTCCTCCTGAAGACTGTCGTAAAACCCGTCCTTCACGACGCTGTCGGATGGTAGAGTAGGGGTGTAGACTGCTACCACGGTCAGGTTGGTAGGATTACCTTTGAAGCGTTCTACAGTGACCCTTGACGATATTGGTTCCCAAAAAAGGGGGACAGCGTTGACGCGCTGGCTCAGCGCTAACGCCACTCCCTGTTGACCTGAAATTTCTGAGCAACTGTGGCAAAAATAGTAGTGGCTATCAGAACCGGGAACATTGATGCTACGGGAGCCGGAGCCGGCTAATCGTACTTCGGATAAACATGTAAAATCTAGACGGTAGTTGTGTAACTTGCGCGTAGTCATAGTCACTGCCAATGTCCAAGAGGGTTCTCACATTCCAGCATCCCATGTAGAAGTGCTTTCTGAGTTCAAGAGGTTGAGGAGGTTCTTGACACCCGACCACTGTAGGAGCGCGTCGCTTACCGGGGACGCCGTAACGTGGGTAACAAAGCTTGTAGAAAACATAATCATGCAGTTGCTTGAGAATTTGTTTCAACAAACGTCCCCAGCGTCGCTCGGCATCGACTGGAAGTTTTCGATTATCGATGTTTACACAGTTTAGCCCATGTTGGATGGAGCGAACGGGTTAGTAACGTGGAGGTAAACCGTCGTGTGCTTGGGAGTCTATCGGATATAAACCTACTGGCACATCGAATTGAGATTAGTAGACTTCGCTGGCTAAGGCATTTATTGCGTATACCTAACTACTGTCTACTGCATAGCACCTTATTCGCTGTAGGCGCTCCGAGGTCAACAGATGACGTGAGGTGAGGCATGAAGAAAGGAATAGAGCGATTAAATAGAGTAGATTTCTCTCTTATTCCGGGTTGGTTAGAGACATTGAAGGATATGGCAGGGAACCGACAGCAGCGGTGTTTTTGTCGTTTCTCCGGCCTCGTCTTAACGTCATCTATTGACTTCCGCGTGGTGTCCTCTAGCCCGGAGAGTAGTGTTGCGGGATAATTGATTGCCCGCCAAGAAGCCTTTCTGATTCGTCCAGGCATTCCACTTGAGCATGGAAGTATCCACTAGGATGTCCGCTGACCGAGTACTTTGTGGCACTCGAGATAAGTCGTTGTAGATTTCATCCTTGATTTCGGACATACTGCAATCGGTCAGCTCATACATGGACACGACGAATAAACACCGATGATTCGTGCCGAAGCTGGCAATCCTTACTGAACCGTCGAGACGAATGGCTTGCAGTCTGGAACGCAGTCAAGAAGCGAACATAGACTTGGCGCAATTCCAACACCACGAGCTTCAGATGCCGAATAACCCGATACACGAAGATTAAGACGTGAGGATCTGAGCAGCTCAAGGTGATAACTGATGTAGGGTCTTGTATACGTGTTTCAGAGAAATAGCATACATCTAAATTGATAGTCATTATCATCATCATCATAGTACAGCGGAATACAGTGAGGCGAACTTCACAGATCGCTGCCACACTCGCAATACATACAGGGTTAGTGGTAAAATTTAAGGTGGACAGGGGTTGGATCTATTTTGAGGGTAGGAGAAGAAGATGAGCCACGGTGGTCAACACAATCGAACTCTGCATATATAGCGTTTCAAGCGTTCTAACCTGATTATAAACGATAACAAGAACACCACTGCTGCCGGTTCGCTGCCACATCATTCAATGTCAACACCAGCGAAGTCCACTAATCTCAATTCGGTACGCTAGCAGGTTTATACCTGACAGACTCCCAAACAGATGACGGCTTACCTCCACGTTACTAACCCGTTCGCTCCATCCAACATGGGCTGAACTGTGTAAACACCGATAATCGAAAACTTCTAGTCGACGAATATCTTCCACTCGCATATTCAGGTTCTCACAGCCATTAAGCTGGACTGAACGAACCCTAGCACAATATACAAGACCGTTCAACTTCGGTGTAACGTCGCATCTATGCAGGTATTTAGGCTATTTAAGTTCTGCGTATGCTGCTCGAGCCTCTGTTGCGCTTCCGTCATTGGTCACGCAACTACCTAAGTAGGAAAAGTAATCCACCACAACTAAATTCTGGCCATTAAGTGTCAGAGTGGGAGTAGACGAAACCCAGTCCTGCAGCATCACTTTGCACTTTGAAGGTGCAAAGCACATACGGAATGTGGCAACTACGCTTGTTAATCCAGCAAGTGCACTTTGCGCGTCCTCTATACATTCGAAGAGACAGACGATGTCATCGGTGTACTCTAAACCGAACAGCTGTCCATTCAATACCCACGTCCTGGAAACCACTTCGTGCGTTCTCCAGTATTTCGCCTACGACGAAATTGAACAGGAAGGGCGAAGGAGGGCTCCCTTCACGAACACCGCTGCTGGTGACGAACGGCCTACTTAGTTCGTTGTAAACCCTTACACGACCGGAGGTATGTGAGTACAGTGACCTCAGTAGGTTAACGTACTTCTGGGGCATTCCTTTTCGAAGAAGGCAGCCCATCAGAGCTTCGCGGTCAACTGAGTCAAAGGCTCGTTTCAGGTCAAGGAACACTGCGATCGTGGGCCGACGGTGAGTATGACGCAGCTTAGGGATCTGACGCAACGTAAAAATCTGATCAATACATCCACGGCCAGGCCGGAATCCGGCTTGCTGTTCACGGATGTTGGTCTCTCTTAAAAGCGTCAGACGTTGAAGCATAACCGAAGCTAGCACTTCGGTGACGATCGGGATCAAACTGATCCCGCGGTAGTTTTTGAAATCGTTGTGGGATGCTTTCTTGAAAATGGGAACGATCAGTGATTCTCCCCAAGATGATGGAATGTGGTCTTGTATCCAAATGTTGCGCAGTAGGTCAGTAATAGAGCTTACGAGGTTTTCAGATATTCTTGCTGAGGCAGACCCTCGGCCGATCTGGTAGTGTGCGGACATGGGGTGCAAACCGGTGAATCGGAGATTTTAGTTTCACCATTCCTACATCTTCTGCTTGTTTTTAACATGGTCATATTTCGTTCAGACTTCCTGGTCCTGTCCGTCGCATAGTCGTATGCGGAACGCTTCTCATCAAGTATATATATATGTATAATTTACTCACTGTGACAAATAAGTTGTTTTTGACGAATATACACCTCCTAGATACAAGTATATGAACGAACTATCACAAGAGTACCAAGTGCTCTTACTTGGTTGGTAAGATCGGTGAAACCAGTCGTGTGCTTCCATGGAAATTCTGTCGAGCTACTCATGTACTGTTGATTGTAGATAGATATATAGATGTATAACACGTACACCTTATTCGCCTGCTGTCTTTTTTATTTTTAGCCCCATGCTATTCTTGGTAGGGGCCGGATTGGCCACTGTGAAGGATTTCACTGTGAGAGGCATCGAATGTCTGAAGGCATGTGATTGTGTCTATTTGGATTCTTATACATCAATTATGCCTGAATGTGCCGAGGGTATACGTGAGCTGACTGGAAAGCAGGTGTTCCTAGCCGATCGAGAAACTGTTGAAGATGGAACGGAACTTTTGATCAAAGCCAAAACGCAGAATATCGCCTTTGTTGTGGTCGGTGATCCGTTAGGTGCAACGACTCATACAGGTATGCTGTTGAACTTCGATTCTTTCCATCTTACTCAAGAGATCTCATTCTGCGTGCCGTTCGATCTGGGATTTCTTATGAAATCATTCACAACACATCCATTCTGACCGCTGTTGGTTGCTGTGGTATTCAGTTGTACAACTTTGGTGCAACAGTGTCCATCCCTTTTTGGGACGAATTTGGTTCTCCTGAGAGTTTTTACGATAAGCTTTTGGACAATATCTCACGTGGTCTGCACACACTCTGTTTGTTAGATATTAAGGTAAGCTCAAGTCTATTTATCATTGCACAATACTCTCGATAGGTGCTGGCCACGAGATGACACAAGAAGCTTAGCGTACGAAATGTTCATATGCATTTGTTTCAGTTTTTGATGATGGCGCTCAAAGCTTTGTTGAAATTTTTCAATTTAATTCGATCCTACTTAATACTGATCTGGCCTACAATCGAGCATAAGGACTGGTGTACTGCGATTTGTTCGGCACAACCTGGACTTAAACGCATGAAATGTAAAACAAGTCCATTTCATTGAAAATCCTGTCATAAGCCTTCTAGAGCGCTGAATTAGTGACGATCGTTAGGGAAATAATTTCTTCTGATTGCCTCCAGAAGTAGTTCCGACAAATTTATTGTTATACAAAAACATGCCACGTATCTTATTTAACGGGGGTTTCGATCGTTTGGCGAAAAAAATTACTTCATTCAATAGGTCTGTTCTGAGAATCTTGATAATTTCATGGTGGAAGCACACTTAATGGCAAACCACAACGAAAGGTCACTTACGAAGCATAAATCAACAGACTAATCACAGAATTCAGTATACGGCGTCCACTATAATATACAACTGTTTTATTTATTATGATCACATCAATATTAACCCATTCGATGAAAAAAAAGAATAAATCAGGTCGAACACAAGAAAAAAGATCTCATTCGAAGGAAATCGCGTCACCCAAATTAAGTGCAATATCTGTTACGGGGTATACTCAGTATATTGACTTCTTTCTGGAGTTCCAAATTGATTGTTCGCTGTACAATCTGTTCATGATTTTCTGAAAATGTGTAACACTAGCTCTGCTGGCGTTCGTTCGTTCGCTTTTGTTGTGACTGATTGATACGTGTCGGTAAATATAAGTTTCGGATTAACACGTTATTTCTAAATTAGAAGTGCATCGCTCAAACAATCAGGGGTGCGTCAGACCCGGGTTACGGTGACCTTTAGCCAACGTCATCACTGCTCTAGCAAAGGACAAGTGCGATTATCATTCATTCATTCACACTGGTGCGTCCGCACCTCGGCATTTATCGGTCTATTGGATCTGACGTCTTACCGCACACATCCCGCTTACCAGTCAATCACGATTACCGTTCACCTGTCTGCACGTTAGTTAGAGCGCGTCGATAGACCGAATGGCCTGGATTTAGTGACTGCAACAAAAATGACCACATTCGATTGCCCCACCGAGTTGCGGGGAAAAAAACCTTTACAGAATACAAAAATGTATTTTTAGCAATCGCAAAACGTCGTTTGCCTCAGACTGTTTCTTTTTTGAAAGTCAACAAGCTCGTGGTTTAAACCAGTTGTATACTCCAGTAATCTACCCGAAATGTGATCATTAGCCAAAGCAAACAGTTTCGATTGATCCAGTGATTCTCCAGTTGAGATAACTTCCGCCGCATTCACTGCTTCACAATCAACTTATTTGCGACGCTTAGCTTGGTTCGAAGACACTATTTTGCTAAAGCGATTGTTGGGATTAGTTGAACCTATGCTCTTCCCACATTTGTTATCAGCCTGCACTCAAGCGCGAATTCCATGGCTGCGGTGCGATCGTCCACAAAAAATGGCCACCAAAATGGTCAAGTGACTGCATGCCAAGACTTATCTGGAAAGACCTGAATCATTGGGTTTTTACTTCACACGGTATTGCCCAACTCGAAGGGAATTGATTTTGATGTATCAAGTAATACATAACCCCGATCACCCATGTCATTCACTGTTCGCCTTGTCGCCCAACACTCACCTTAGGGGGCACTCATCCAGATTAGTGCTATAAAAATTCGACTGGAATGCCGGCATCGTTCATTTGCCCTCGGAGTGTGCAGTGCTTATAGTTCTCTACCGACTCACCTTTTTTGTGCTTCCACAATTGATTTTTCAAGCACAAACTGGATGAAACTTTGACAAATCTTAAATTTCGACATCGGTAAAAGTTCCATTTTGCCTGTTCGCCGAGCGTGGCAATTTGTTTGCAAACGTTTTATCACCAGCCGAGGGGACATCATCAGTGCACTGATGATGTTGCTGTCTTGGCTTCACATTTGGATGAACANGTCAAAAGTAGAATTGAAGAGAAAATTGAGAATTTCAGTGGACTAGGGTTCAAAGAAATTGAGGAAATGCGCGAACGCCACTGTTTAAGAAACTCAGCTATATCGTGCAATGGTAAGTCATGAGGTGGCAACCAAAACCGGCGCACGAACGTACATGGTCACTGGCTGTAAGAACTAAAACCGAAACCCGCCAATCTTGCAGCAACGCCTTGCTCTTCGCAGGTGCAAAAGCTATACTATCATGAGCGGCCTCAATTGCCAAGCGATTCAGCGTGTTTTGACTCGCCTTGTAACAACTGGTATCCTTTATTTCGGGAGAATCCATTGCTTCATCTATTTCCATGAAGAGCAGCCACATCGGTGGTTCCAGTTACAGACGTGCGCCTGACTACAATAGCGCCCGAAGCTATCAGTGTCCGTTTTATAAGCCAAAGCGACTTCCATCGACAAAGAGCAACCCGGGGTTCCGTGCCGTAGCTACCTCAAATTTCCATCCCTCGTCAGCTACTGAAGCATTACCATATATATGCACCAAACTATTACTGTATCTTTGGACATACTAGAGTCCTTTGACTCCGCCGATAGCTCTGCCTTATGAAATTGTTTGCTGTGGTGCGTAGCACCTTAGATGTATGTTCGATTCTAACAACAATCTACCGTCTGACCTCGAGAAAGATTAGGGCCTATGTTGAACTTTCACCCACATTTCTTGTCACCAGTGGGGTACGGTAGGGTTACCTTGCTTCCGCTTCTGTTGAACTTTGCCACGGAGGATGTCCTGTAAACAGCATTACTTACCGTAAAATGCCGAGATTCCTCCTAGAATCAGATTTACAAACTGGTAATATAATAATAATAATATAATACTCGGACATTGTGCTCTACCTATACAAGGTACACAGAAGCGCTTAGTAGTTGCTATCTTTCGGTTAACACCCACATTGCTGCTACAAGATTCTCTAGTTCTTGTTCTTCTATTGGGTAGTCATATCTTAGAAGTGGTTGCGATTTATTAACACTCAAGTTACGTAATGCTGCCTAGTGCAGATCTCCCACAGCGTATTCAAAGCAAAACTGACGTTTGCGAATTAGTGGCTCTGGCGCGACATCTTTCTTTCATTTTGAGGAAGTTACTTTAGAGCAACGCTACGCGCTGTCACTTTACACTTACGAAACTTGATTTCTCAAAGCGGATTATGTCCGATGACTGAGTTTTCGATAATCATTATGTGTCTGGCATCAACCGCCTGTGGTGAGGGTGTGACTGGGATAAAGATAAAGTCAGATGAAAGGCAGGTAGCCTCTATTTGAGTAAAACGATTTCAAACAGGCCCAACCCATCTATGCGAGCTTGTTGCGAGTATCGGTCCTCGTTCACCTCACACTAACCACCATGGTTATAACTCGGTTGAAAACTTACACAACCCGATCATTTGTTGTATGAGTGTAATGGAGGATTTGAACTGTTTATGTGATTTATCCCTTGTGTAAATGAGGCATGAGCTGAAACCTGGGAAGCACTGGACATGTTTCAATCTGGTTGGGTCTGGGGGTCGAACCCGATACCGCATAGGCAGAACGCAAGCATACTATCCACTCGGCCACCAGGTATTTGATCAGACTGTTCCTCATTTTGAATATACACTGCTGATGAAGTCCAACCAGGTCGAAACAGTTGACCAGTGCTTTTAGGCTCACGCCTCACTTACACAGCGAATTCATTATAGAAAACCATTTCACTACGCCGTGAGGTGGCCGGTACCCGTCTTGCAAATACCTGAACCCCTGCCCTACGTTGAACTGGGTTAAAGGAAACGAGATGAGGAAGCTATAACATGGGATAGAGGATTAAAGAAAATGTGTTCGGTTTTGGCATCCCTCGAGGCTTCGCAGCTATCAGACTACGGATGCAGGAATTCTGATTGCTGTTGACTGGAAACATTACGGGGCTACAGCATTTCGTTACACCCAGTGGTGTGAATGCTTTTTTTTGCAATCCCACGAATAAAGGACAGACAGTTCTAACCAGTATGCAGTTAATATTTCCCACTTGAAATCTATTCTTTTTGCTTGGCTCCACGTAATGTTCGTATATATAGGCTGCCAAAGTTCGAAAATTGCAACCGGAATTCAACCTTTAACTGTCTTTTCTTAAAATCCCCTATCAGGTCAAGGAGCGCTCGTTGGAAAACATACTCAAAGAAAGAAAAATCTACGAACCACCAAGATTCATGACCTGTGAATGTGCTGTTCACCAACTACTTCAAGTTGTCCGACGAAGAAGTGATCAGGGTGACAAACCTTGCTTAACCGAGGACTGTCTGGCAATTGGATTGGCCCGTGTTGGTTGTCCCGATCAGGCAATTGTGGTTTCCACCCTGAGAGCGTTGAACGACAGTTATGAGACTCCAGGGGCAGCGCCGAATGCCCTGTTGACTGCTGCTCTTGGTGGACCGTTACACAGTTTAATTATACCCGGAGAGTTGCATCCTGTAGAAGAAGAATTCCTTATCGCGCGATACTGTTCTTCGCAAGCTTCACAAAACATGCCCAGATTTTTCATCAACAGTAATCAAGAAGCTTCTACTGAATCGTTAGAGAACACAAAGATTTTGTTCTCCAACCATAAAATCTTGGTCAAATCACTGACACCTTGTTGAATCAAATAAAGTTGCATCTTCTGATAAAGACTCGCTACTATCTTCTTAAACCAAAGGTGACTGAGCGAAAGCAATACTCCTGCATAATGCTTTCAAAGTTCTGACTAACGATACAAGACAGAAGCCTTGCTTTGATTGTGCAAAGATCATCAGCCTAGGTTCGGCTGTAAGGTCCCATCGCAGACGATCATCGCTTTATGAATCTTTTGTTGGAAACGGCCAATTTGCATTATTGGTTTCTTCGTGCGCTCCACTGACTGTGTTGACCTCTCTGGGCTGCTCGTCGTTGGCCTTTTATTGAAGGGCGTTTATACCTTTTTTCACTTGTTTCCATCCTCACTTGGCCGCTCTTCTATCAAGTGGAAGATTTGTTTACAGCTCCATGAAATTAGTGACCTGTTTGTTATTTTTGGGGATTTTCGGTGGAGCTTTAATCCGCACGCTAGCGGTTCCCAGAGTTCAGCATACAATAAATCTATAATACGACTATCGACGCCGCAAATTTTACTAAGTATGCTTCTCAGTGGCCGCCTCAATATCAATCTTTTCTCACCGCTTGAGGACTGGTCATATTCTCGTGGGAATGCATGAAGCCCATAGCTAGCCACACGACAACTGGGATACTTGAGCGACAGCGTAAGCGAAAAACCTTACCGACAGACACTACGTATTGTCGACGGGTGAGGCATCGCCACGAAAGGTTTCTCCCAATGTGCGATCGGTATTTTTCAGACCACGTGAAATTTTTAAACCGGGATCGCCGTACGGCTGATCATCAGACAAGTGAGTGCAATAAATTCTCGAAATTCATCGATTCATCATCACGATCGGCTACAAACCACTGATGGTTGTTTTCCGTGCACGTTTGTACCGCTTATCTCCGCGCGAATTTTGTCTCATGAATTTCATATCTCAATTATCCACCGATATCCAACAAATCAACAGATCGAACAAAACTGCCGCTAGTGCCTTAGATCGGCTCCGCATTAACAATGTTGTTGTGCAATTCGATATCAACCCTGAAACAATTTCCCGCTTTTTCACTGCTTTCCTCGAGTATTCGATGAGCACTCTCTCCTCAAGTGGCACTGTAGTGCCTCGCTTATCTACCTTGTCATAATTGGGCAACTTGCTTTAATACACATAGTAGGGTATAAGCCGATAAAAACTCTTTCCGCGACTACGCAAGAGTCCTCAAAGCAGTGCTGAAGCATAATGCGTACATCGTTCAATAATCGTCAAGGGGACGGGCCTGGTAACCGAGCTCCGACGGTGTTTCATGTAATGGAGATCGCACCCGAATAGCTGAGTATACCATCTGGCACAGCAGTTTGGCAGCCGGATCACGGCCTGAGTTCGTAAATAACTGGCCACGCCCGTTGAACCCGCTACCTTACGTGGAGAAAGGATTGAGGTAATCCACATCATCATCCTACAACGAAGCGAACTTCACTCTTCGCNTTCACTGTTCGCTGCCAAACTCGCAATGCATACAAGGTTAGTGGTAAAATGTAAGGTGTACAGGGATTGGGCCGATTTGAGGAAGCGGGAAGGTGAACACCGAGTACACAATCGAACTCTGCATACGTGCACACCATTTCAGGCATTCTGGCCCAAGGAATGACATCAAAAACGCCATTGATGTCAGTTCGATGCCATATGTCTCCAACCAAACACTTGCGAAATCTCTCGGACCGTAACCTAAAGGGGAGACATCGATTCCGCTTAATCGCGCTGTGCATTTCTTCATGCCTCGTCTTCAAGTGGTTACCTTCAGCCCAAAGAGGCTACAGCGTATAAAGCGCGGTGCAGAAGAGGACAACTAATTAGCGAAGCCTATTACCTTGTATCCGGTCAGCCTGCAAGTTTATCCCAGATAAACTCTCAAACACACGACGACTTACCACCAATTACTAACCGATTTCCTCCATCCTACGTGAGCTTAACTACTTAAATACCAATAGTCCAGAACGTCTGGTCAATGGCTATCCTACTCGC